TCCTACGGAAAGAGACCCGACGTCGGTTGAATCAGAAAAAAGTATAGTGCAACTTTGTGCTCATTATTATGCTGCTTTGATATTTCAAAAATTCCGAGTGCTTTCCAGAGATATCCGGAAAACCCCGAAATTCGCCAGAAATGATTTTATTTTTCCAATACCGCTTGTCAATAATAGGCAATCATCCTTACGCTTATAATCCTTGGTTTGTGTCAATATCGGCGCTTGTCAATAATGGGCAGTCCTCTCGACGCTTATAATCCTTGGTTTGTGTCAATCAATAGCTGTCTTTCTCTGTTCCTTTACGTAACATCTTTCTTGTCTCTCGAGTAACGAAATTTGCCCGTGACGCGTTTTTCAAATCACTCTCCATTGTCGTCCAAATAGCAGAAAGCCGTTTAAGAAGTTTCTTTTCAAAAATTATTGAAATGGAAATAATCTTGATACAATTTTGGAACATAAATAAAAGTTGTAGGATATCTTAAGTGTGTGCTGGCGCTATTTGACTGTGGGTTTGGGTTGGTGGTCTACAGAGATCAATGGTGGCTCCATCTCTGTCATTCTCAGGAGAATAAAACATAGTTTATACTAAAGCTTATTTTTATTCTCAACAATCATTGCCAATATGGTTAATAGGACTGTGAGTGCGACTACCATCTAAATTGTAGCAATATTCATAATCATAAAAATGAAATACGTCTTTATCGTCACCCTTGAATTTTTTTTTTTTTCAATATATATTGAGTATTTAAATAGAAACAGATCCCAAATTTCCGCCTGAGAACGAAATCCGCGAACGTACTCCTCTGGAAGTAATTCGTATAAACTGCTAATTTCTCACATTCCTGAATATCTAGCTTGGAAGTACTGGAATACTTTTTTCCTCAACCCATGTTATTTCTGGATGACATGATTTAAAAATTCCACCACATTGATTGCAGATCTTGGCAGATGTTCGGCAACTCCCATGACGTTACAGGTTATCCTGGTACTGGCAGATATGAATAGGCTTTTAGAGGGTTATGATCCTATTAATACTCATATTTAGAGCTTAAAGTTGTTGGAGCGTCCAGCCTGTAAGAGACATTGTTTAGTATATAACACTGCAATTGAAATGATACACACCGCTTTCTTTTTCCTAGAATTCTGTGAACTTTTTGTTTAGGATGACTGAAAACCTAAATGACCAAATTTATTTATGAGCAGGGGGTGGTAGTGGCAGCCGGTATCCACTTCCAGTTTCAACTTGAAAGTGGTTGTCATATTTTAGTCCTCTATGTTATTCCATAGTTACCCTGATTTGTTGAAGGAAAAACTAGTTTTAAAACCCCTTCTTCTCGTTTACGTGTACGCATGTTTGTTGAATTCGGTGGGTCGGTTGCTCAAGAATGTGCGAAGTTAGTTTTCTCATATCCTTGCGCTATTTAACTGTTTGCTCTAAATTATTTTTTCGCATACGCATTTTCTGCTATCCTGGTAAGTGTGTCATAAAATCAATCAGTCCTCCGTCCGTCCTAATACTGAATAGGTATGCCACAGCTAATTTCAAAACGTGCTTCACGCTGATAGGGTCCTGCTTTGATGAAAGCCGCTATGTTTCAATTCGGTTCTTGAAAGATGTTTTGACAAGACTAACGTCTTCCTCCTGCTTCACCAGGTGTTGGCTCGGTGCTAGACACCGAAGATGACCAACCCATTGATTTATCGGTGCCTCCAAATCGCAATACTCACACCACCGGCATGTGGCTGATATTGAAGGTCCTGAAAATAATTGAATTAGATTTAAAAAATTCGATTAATGTCAACTTACCCGCAAAAGTCTAGCTTGCTTCATCATGGGGGCGGCGGGATCTCCAGCCTTTCGTTTGGAGGCTCTCTTGGAGCTGGGTGTTTGGGTGGTGTTGGATAGCCCCCTCTGCTTCAAAAATCCCACCACATTGGTTACAGATCTTGGAAGATGTTTAGCAATCCTCATGATGTTTCAGGTTATCTCCTTCCTGGTGAACCATTTTGTACACAAATTTAAAAATTCGCTGTTTATGGAGGTTTGTTTTAAAGTAAATGAAAAAATAAAACCAGTTTAAATTGGTTAAAGAACCTACCTAAATTTTAGAAAAAGAAATTTGAGTTTTGTGCAAATGTAAGTATAAAAGTAAATTCAAGTTGCTGCGTAAAAAACTATTGGAATTAAATTAAGAAATAGGTAGGTACTCAGGGTTGTCTGTATTTTTAAAAAACAAACAATATGATTATGTGTTAAGGAAAATAAAAATAATTCAATAATCGAGGTTTGTGTTAATTCAAAATATGTCTCAGGGCATGATTTATCCTACATCACTTAGATATTTAAAAATAGTACTTACAGTTTTTCGAAACCGACACTTATCGCACAAGAAACTAAACTTTGAAAATCCAGGCTCAAAGTACTGGTACTGGATGCTGCGTTTTTTGTACAAAGAAAAAAAATTGAATCCTCATCTTTTACAGGTAACAATGTATCCACTGAAATTTTGTATTGCATAGGGTTATTGGCTCATAAAATGTCAACGATGCTAATTTAAATCTATTCTTTTAAATTTTGATAAATTGATTGAATTTGTCACCTTTTTTAAAATAAAAATGGACATATTGATATCTAACTTAATAATTACGCCTTAAACTAAAAAATTATCTTTAAAATGTGTTGTTGTTTTTCTCGGGCGATTTCTGCGAACGGTCCTGATATAATTCAGATAAAAAAACTGCCGATTAAGCGTTTGCATTTAGCGGTGTTTTTTGTATGTGATACTTCGAAGTTTAAATCGGATTTTATAATAACAAGCTTCTCGCTCAAACTAGTCAACAGTGGAAAATATAAAATTATTGCACAACAATTAATTTGATTTTAACCAAGTAAGTAAATATCTTATATACTAATATCAATCAACAACAAGACCTGTCTTTTCCTAGCAAAGGATTGAAAACACTGAGAAAATTACAAGACCTGAAGCCTCATAGAAAGTGAAATTCTCAATATTTTGACAGCGTTTTTTGTATGTTATGTTGTTAATTCGAAGTTTGAATCGGATTTTATAATAATTAAGCTCTTTCAGTCTTGTTTGAGACTCGTCAACAAGAATAAAATTATTGCACAACAATTATCATTTTAACCAAGTAAGTGAATATCTTATATACTGATATCGATACAATTATGGAATATTTTAGATATGGATTTGAAATCAATCAACAAGACCTGTCTTTTTATAACAAAGGATTAAAAACACTGAGAAAATTATAAGATCTGGTATAAAGTGAAAGTTCCCAATATTTTCTACGATAGAGACCTCAAAATAATTGCAAATCTTTACTGGAACCAATAAACTATACAAATTAAGGTAGATCATAAAACTATTGTACAGAAATTATTATTTTAACCTAGTAAGTAAATATCTTATATACTTAGGTAATCGATACAATTGTGGCATATTTTTAGCTATGGATTTGAAATACTCGTCGAATTTGATGATAACGCAGTGTTGCCCCAAGACGTACCACCAAAATGATTGGATCATATTAAGCAGTTTATTGATGGAAAATATTCGCTTTTTGAAATCGTTGTCTTAAAAAATGTATGTTTTTAATAAAAAAACGAGGCCCCTTTCCCATCAAACGTTGGTTCCAACCAAGGATAATACACACTACTACTACAGGATAGCCTATCCTCATAAGGCCTGTGTGGAACAAATCCACTCTCTCCCCAACGTTAAATCACCAGTTGTGACGTAAGCAGCATGTTATTTCTCGCCTTGACGTAGGTTGTTTAAACAGCTGATGACTTAGTTATGGCGTCGCAAATGGTAACACACGAGGTCAATGAGCAATACTGTAGGTGTGTATCATCCTTAAGTTCGAACACCCTCTACCAGGTACAACATGAAGCTAGCTGCTGGACCCTCATAGTTACGTCACCACCACAGCATCCTGTTATAAGACACATCAAACTTGACACATGTACTCTAAATGGCGCCACGGACGTGACCCAGGTCGCTATGACGTCATCACAGAACCCGAACCATGAATCGAACTTTGCACTATGTACTCTAAATGGCGCCACGGACCCGCACTGACGTAACCCACGTGACCCAGGTCGCTATGACGTCATCACAGAACCATGAAACGAACTTCGCACTATGTACTCTAAATGGCGCCACGAACGTGACCCAGGTCGCTATGACGTCATCACAGAACCTGAACCCTGAATCAAACTTTGCACTATGTACTCTAAATGACTCCACGGACGTGACCCAGGTCGCTATGACGTCATCACAGAACCCGAACCATGAATCAAACTTTGCACTATGTACTCTAAATGACTCCACGGACGTGACCCAGGTCGCTATGACGTCATCACAGAACCCGGAACGACTCAGAACTCCCGCTATGACGTCATGACGTTTGACAGATGACGTTTGACAGATGACGTTTGACAGGTGACGTTTGACAGATGAAGTTTGACAGGTGACGGTTGACAAGATGGCGGGAAAACATTTTCCCCCCCCCCCCCCCCCACCCCTTTTTCTGGTACCCATATTAAAATCCGGGGGCCCCTTTTTGGGGGCGGAGCCCTGCGGGCCCCCTTTTTGGGGGGCGGAGCCCTGCGGGCCCCCTTTTTGGGGGGCGCAGCCCTGCGGGCCCCCAACTACAGCATCCTGTATTACGAACTTCACACTATGTACGCTAGATGGCGCCATGGCGTTTGACAAGATGGCGCCGACGATGCATCCACCTTCGTGTCAACGGCGGCGCATCCACCACGTGTCAAGAATGAAAGATTGAGGTTATGGTCGGATTTTTGTAGTCATACCCCTGTTGCTGTACTACTCAGGATACCCAGGAACCCACAGGAGCTTTCCTGTGGGTTCCTGGACATTCGAGGTTAAAAGGCAACGAAAAGGTTGACGAACTATTGGGATATTGAAGCAGGGTATAAAAACGGCAGATGAATATGTGGTCGACCCATCAACAGCTCCACCATTGGCTGTCTAATAACAGGACACTGCCATCTTAAGTCGCAAATAAGAGTCTACAATGGCCCAACGACTTCCCTTTTATGGTAGATTTGGCACTTATCCAAATTAAACTCTTCTCTGAAAGAGAGTTAATTTGGTTTATTTCATGATGATGCATTACAATTTTCATACAAAAAAAAAATGAGAATACTAAAACCGTTCTAATGGACCACATCTGAATCCCACAAATCTATTACATGAGCCTCCTTGGCTCTATTAATAACCCACTGCCAAGAATCAAGTTTTTGTTCAATTTCCTTCAACTTCATGTCGTGTTTGGCACTTCGTTCTTCTAGTTTGATCATTTCCGTCGCTACAAGGTCCATTTGTTTTTTAGATTCAGTTTCTAAATATTTCAATATCTCTGAACGTTTAGGAAAATCTTCTTCTGCGTTGCAGAGTTGGTCGCGGAGATCGCCGATATCTAATTTCGATTGCGCAATTTCGTGATCCAGCGATGTAAGTAATCTTTGTGTGCTTTTTTCTTGTTTAATAAGGCTTTTTTCTACAGTTTCAATGTCAGTTTCACTTATGCAATCACCACTTCCACTATCTGTAGATTTAATGTTGACTGGTATTGCCTTGCTGTTTTTCTCAGGGACGTCAGAGTTTTTGTTATAACCCCTGAATATTATTCTTAGTAAATAACTTGCCATAATTTTGGATAAACTCGTCTGAATTTAGGAGGGTAAAATAAAACGACTAATTTCTTAATGACATGACAGCTAATAGGACTGGTTGAGACAAATTAGGAAAAATCTTGATTGAAATATCTTTCTTCTAGGTAGCTGTAAAAATGGCCCTTAAAACCGGAAGAGATCATTTACGAATGAGTCCGATATGCTAGGCTCCATTATTGAGCTTGCTCATCTAGCTCCGTCATCAAGCTTCCTAAGCAATGAGATTCTAAAAGGGGCGTGCCTTCTTAATCACCCATATTCTCTCTTTTAACGAATGATGTTGCTTTGTTTGATAAAAAAAACTTTGCCCAACTTTTTGATAATTTTTTTTTAATTAGTATTTTTAGGGTTTCTGAAGTGTTTAGTGGTCCTACTTCTTAAAATGGAGCACAGTGACCGTAGTTAACGGTACCAGAAGAAACCATTGTTACGAAATTGCGTCGACAACCCGGTTAGGATTTTGGGAATCGAGTTGTTTACATCTAGCGCGTCTATTGGGAGAATTCTATTGAATTTCATACAAAGAAAAAATACACGACTTATGAAAGGTGTTTTATTTTGGCAATTTTTTCGTTACAAACGCGTCTACTTGTTCATGAGCCTCCTTGGCCTGATTGATAACCACCTGCAAAAGATAAAACTTTTGTTTAATTTCCTTCAATTTCAAATCGTGTTTTTCGCTCTGTTTTTCCAATTTGATCAGTTCCATCGTGATAGTGTTTATTTGTTTTTTTAATTCAGCTTCTGAATGTTTTCTTTTCTCAAAAATATTGGGAGAATCTTCATCTGCAGTTCGCTTGATGTTGTTTGGATTACAAACATCTACTCCTGATTTTCCATTTTCGCGATCCAGTGATTTAAGTGATTCTTTTGTAATTTTTTTTTGTCTAGTGAGGTTTTTACCAACAGGTTCAGTGTCAATTTTGCTAATAGTTACGTTATCATCATTTCCGGTTTTTGACGAGTTATTGTTGACCTCCTTCAAATTGTTGTTTTCTTCAGGGTCCTCAGGCGTTTTGCCATGGTCCATGAACATTTTGAAAAAATAACTTGCCATAATTTCATCTCAGTTCGAAACAGGAAAAAAAAAAAGTCTATAGTGACAGCTGATAGGACTGGTTATTTGAAAATGGCCCGGTTGTACCGAAATAGTCGTTCAGTTGAGTGCGTTCGATTAGTGATCCTTGTTAGGTAAAAATAACATTAGACTTTACACTGTGTTATTAGAGAGTTATTGGACGTCCAATAAGGACAAGCAGTATTTAAATCAGCCTTATTTTGACATCTACGCATGCGCATTTGGGTCTGAAAATAAGGATTCTCTTAATAAGGTTACTGCTTGTCTTTAATTGTGTATGATTAGTGCGAGGCAGTAAACTTTCCTTATTTCAATATTTCTGACATTTTTGACGACTTCGACGTTTTGCTCCGCAACGATGACGTAATTTTAGTTAGAGAATTTGCTTTTTACAATAGTTTTCCATTTTAGGTAACATCAAAACATGGGTATCAGCAGAAAATCACAAACAAAAATAAACACTTTTTGAGGCTGAAATTTATAAACTATAGCAGTCAGCTGTCAAAATTATGAATACAAAATAAGATAATATCCTAATAGTCCAGGAGGTGGCGCCAAAAACATGCAAGAGTTTTCGCAAGGCTGATATTTTCAAAATGGGTCGTACTTTAGTGCTAGAATGCTAGTGTACAGTCAGCACTCACAGTTCCGGGACAGCTGGCTCTGGGACGCGGGCAAAGTTGTAATTTTAAGAAGCATCTAAACTGTTTTCTCAAAGCTCAAAATTTATAGAAATTTTGCACATTATCTGTTTAAAGGTCACAGATAACGTATGTAAATCGTCAGACGTCTAGTTCGTTGCAAAAAGGGGGTCAGACGTCCTCAAAGTTTTTATTTTATGGCATTTTCTTCAAATATATTTGTCAAATACCTGCAAAAATATATTTTGACAGGACACCGAAGAGAATGCCATAAAATGAAAACTTTGAGGACGTCTGACCCCCTTTTTGCAACGAACTAGACGTCTGACGATTTACATACGTTATCTGTGACCTTCAAACAGATAATGTGCAGAATTTCTATAAATTTTGAGCTTTGAGAAAACAGTTTAGATGCTTCTTAAAATTACAACTTTGCCCGCGTCCCAGAGCCAGCTGTCCCGGAACTGTGAGTGCTGACTGTACACTAGCATTCTAGCATTAAAGTACGACCTATTTTGAAAATATCCGCCTTGCGAAAACTCTTGCATGTTTTTGACGCCAGCTCCCCAACTATAACACCTACTACAGTCTTCCAATAACTGTTATTTTCTTGGAGAAATAGTGCTGATGCACCAATAAAATAGCGTAGATCCTTAATACTGCGAGACAGTATTTAATATTTCCAATAACTCTCTAATGTCCATAAGGTCCTACCAATGAACTATAGCTAAAAACTGGAATGCGCACACATTGACATATCTGCCAAAAAAATGAAGCCATGAAAGACAGATGCCACAAGGGGGAATGTTGTTTTTTTCTGTTGCTCGCTGACATATGACGTTTTCGAAAGTTTTGTCATATTTCCCTTCACAGGTTTCATCAATTGGAATACGTGTTGGAAGCAATTTTCGCCATTTAACATAATGAGTGCGACAAAAACAGGTATCCCCTCCGCAGCAGCCGCACTAGGCCTCACGTTCGCCATATGTGTTCGCATTCCAGTTTTTGGTTATAGTTCATTGGGTCCTACATTTTCATGTTGTATGTACAGTCTAAGTGCGCGTTCACATTGACACTGCTCGAGCGGTGAGTGTTGCGCGATGCCGCTGTAGCGATACTCAAAAATAATAGGGAACTTGCAAGTGAAGTAAAATTTTCCAAATTTGTTTTAAATCGATAGTTTATGCTGCACAATATTCATATGACCAGTTTTTATTTAACTGATACCGCCCTTGTTACACAAAAAATAATATTAAATTTGAAATAAAAACTTTCCCGCCAAAACAATGCTCCATGATGAATACCTGTTTTGACGTCACGATTCTGTAAACAAACCCGTCAATAGGGAAATCTGAGATAGGGAACTTGCACGTAAAAAAAATACAAAAGCAGTCCTTCACAATAGTCTTCATCCAGTGCGACAATTTTCATAAAAAGCAAACTTCAACACACTTGAATAACACAAAAATAGCACTGCGTTAGCAGGAGTTCGTTTGCTTTGTATTTGATGTTTACAAAATCTCAACGTCACAAGCGCTGTCAAATTGAGATTTAGTGTTTTCGCGCCAAATTATTTCATTTGAATTTCAATATTTTTTTTTTCGTAAAACGTATAAATTAAAATGGAAAAAATAGTATATTGTTGTATTAGGAGTAGAAGCTTCACTTTTTTGTGCTGAAGCGGTAGGTTTGTTACAATACTGCTGAAGCACAAAAAAGTGCTTCTACTCCGTATGCAACACGCTATTTTTTCTCCAAACGAATGGGGTAAGCTCGGGGGCAAGTGAATGGTTGAGCGGCAGTAAAAGTACGAGCGGCACTAAAAGTACTTCTACTGCCGCTCCAGCGGCACTAAAAGTACTTTTGCTGCCGCTGGGGTTGCCAAGCAGCATAGAAATTAAATTTCTACCACCTTGACAGTGACGTTTTTCTGACGTTTGGAGAAAAATTAAATTTCTACCACCTCGACAGGTGTTAACCCGCTAGATTTGCCTAGCAGCATAGAAATCAAATTTCTGACATCTTGACGGGGGTTAACAAAGTGACGTTTTTCTGACGTTTGGAGAAAAAGAAAATTATGTAATAACTGATGACTAGAAGTATCTAAAAAAAAATAATTTGAGAAATATGAAAATTCCCATTAATTAAAATTAACATTATATTTCAAATAAACATGTTCACACTGGAGCGGCGCGTCGCGCGATGTTGCGCGACGCAACGCACCGCTAGTGGTTTTAACCTGATTGAAAATTTCGAGCGTCATCGCAATATTTGATAGTTTTTTTTCAAGTAAAATCTGTTTTTTTTTTAAAGATAAAAGTCAAAATGACATTGTGTTGGCAATACAATATAAAATTGTCAAAGCTTTCAATTTTTTCATGTAGAAAAGGCTTGTATTGCCAACATAGTTACTAAATTTTTGACTTGGGGAAATATCTTTAAAAAAAAAACAGACTTTAGTATACAGAGAACTGTTGATTTTTCTGAAATACAAACACGTCCAGCACTTCGGAAGTTGAGGATACAGTTGCTAAAATTCTTCATAAAAGAAGCGCTGTTGATTCACTTCATGAACTGCTTTGGTTCTTTTTTTTTCCGAAAATAAGCATTGGTAAACGTGAGTTTTCCGCAAACAAATACTATACAATGTATAGTATTTGTTTGCGGAAAACTCAGCGGTTCCCAACCGGTGGGTCGCGACCCCTAAGAGGCACAGGGTTTTTGGAGGGGTCGCAAAATATATATTTTTCAGCATTTGGCAACACGCCTTAGCCTCCGCCCCAAAATACGCGCAGCGTTGCATTGACCTTACGGACGAAGTACCTACATAGCCGAGGTTTTGAGTCACATGTTTTTCAACATAGGTAGCTATGCAATTGTTCCGATCAAAAACAAAAGAGTACTAAAAAGACTGACTTCAAATCAAATCAAATCAAATAAGCTTTATTGTCCAAAAAAAAACAGATACATTTTTATTGACAAAGCAAATACTTAACCTAACCTAACCTCCTAAAACATAAAATTACAGTACACAAGCTAAAATTGTCTTAAAAAAAATAAAAAAAACAAAAAATTTTGAACCTTATTAAATAAACAAATCCACAATTCGGTCCAAAATCAGTAAAGTTTCGAAGTTTTCATAAGTACATTTACACCTAAAAATCCCAAATTCTACTCAAGTATTGCATAATGCATTTTCATCATAAAATTCACTTACACTATACAAGGCTTTGGTAGTTAAATGCTGTTTGACACACAAACGAAATGCTTTATAATTAGAGCATTCTTTAATTTGTTGCGGTAAATGATTGTACATTTTAATACTTTCATAAATAACTGAATTTTTCGTGAGTGTAAATTTAGGGATTGGTAAGGGTACATTATTTTGTCGGAGGTTATAGTTACTCGCCTGAACAGAACCGGCATTCTTTTTATAGACAAGGTTCACCGATTCCAATATAAAAAGAGATGGCACTGTCATTATTCCCTCCTGTACAAACAACGGTCTACATGATTATGTGCATTTTTTCTTGCACAAGTAACGCACAGCCCTCTTCTGAAGAACAAACACTGCCTGGAGTGATTTTTTAGTGGAGTAGCCCCAGAAAGCTATACCATACCGGATGTGTGACTCCATTATAGAGAAATATGCATTTTTTGCAGTAGTTTTGCCAAGCTCGTGCGCAATAGTCCTAATAATATAGCTAGCCAGTCTTCTATTTAAAATTTCAATATGGCCCTCAAACTTGAGGAGTGCATCAATATGCAGTCCCAAATATCTCACGGATGGTTTGCTTTCGAGAGTTTCGTCCTGCAACTTAACATTTGTTATATTGCACTTAAATGTTAAGAACTGGTCTAAGTTTTGATCCAAACTCGATTTTCTGGTGGTCCACAGTTCGTTTGCATCATCAGCAAAAGCTGTTAATTTTGCTACAATTGGCAGTGATAGCAAGTCGTTTATGCATATTAAGAACAGTATTGGGCCCAAGACGGCTCCTTGAGGAACCCCATGCAGAACCTTATTACATTCAGAGTTAATTCCATTTACGCTCACAAACTGATATCTTTCTGTGAGCATAGAGTTGAACCAGTTTAAAGGAGTGTCCTGAATGCCGTAATGATGAAGTTTCCGCGCCAGTATTCCGTGACTTACGCAATCAAAAGCTTTTGAAAAATCACAGAACGCTGCCGCCGCAACTTCTCCATCATTCAGACTCAAATAGAGTTTTTCCAAAAATGCAAAAATTGCATCATTCGTGCTCTTGGAACTCCGGAAACCAAACTGCCCACGATTTAAAATATTATGTCGGTCTAAATATTGCATTAGTTGTTCTTTAACAATTTTTTCAATTAATTTTGAGATTGTGCTGAGTAAAGAAATGGGGCGATAATTGGAAGGACT